CTTACGGCTAAAAATGCCACACTGTAATTTACTGCACCACAGCCCAGCACATTGCACACCTATCCTCAGGTATAGTTGCCTGGTACAAGTATAATCTGGCATCTCTTGTTTTTCCTGTTTTGTTTGTTTTTTTAATTTTTATTGTGATTTGGGTGAAGGTTTACAGAGCAAATTCATTTTCCATACAGCAGTTCATATACTTTTTGTCTCATTACATTGACTGCAATCTCCCACAGTGCAACAGCTCTCTTCCCACTTCCTTCCTGTAGTTACTTTTTCCCTATGTCCTTCTTTCCTATGCACTCCTGCCCCCTGAGCTATCTCCCTATATAAATACTACCCTTCTGTTCTCCCATGGAGCTCTGGTAGCATAGTGCCTAAGGCGTTTGACTGCTACCCAGAAAGTTGGCAGTTCAAACCCACCAGCCACTCCTTGGAAGGAAGACTGGGCAATCTACTTCTGTAGTGATACTCCCTTGGAAACCCAAGGAGGGGTCACTATGAGTCAGATCCAACTCGACGGCACTGAGTTTGGTTTGGTTTGGTTCTCCTATGATTAGTGTTCTAAGGAGTGTATCTACCTGACGTAAATGTTCACCCCATATGCCTGTCTGTGTTTGGCTGGAAGTTACAGGAGTGAGTTCAGTTCCAGACCCAAAGGCTAACTAGCGGCCATAGTCTCGGGGGTATCACCAGGCTCTATCAGACCAGTAAACCTGGTCTTTTTTATGATTTTGAGTTTTATTTCATGTTGTTCTCCCACTCTATCCAGGGTCTCCTTCACTGATCCCTTCCGAGTGGTTGACAATGGTAAGCTGGGCACCATCTAGTTCTTCTAGTCTCATGGTCATGTAGGCAGAGGTTTGCATGGTCTACTAGTCCCTTGGACTAATTGTTTACGTGTATCTTTGGTTTTCTTCATTATTCTTTGCTCTGGTTGAGGAGAGACCCATTGTTGCCTCTAGATGGCTGCTTGCAAGCTTTTCAGATACAAGTGGCTACTTACCAAAGTAGGATGTAGGACAATGTTTTTGTGCAGTTTGTTATGCAGATTGCACTTGATGTCCCTGTGACAACAGGACCGATAACTCACTTCCTCAGTATGGTTGGCTGTGGCTAAGAAACTATCATAAATCTGCCTCTTGTTAGCTCTATTATGTATATGGACATTCTTATACCACATACAATTACCTATGTAGAAATATCATTTGTCAAACTTATATATGGTTGCTATGAGTCAGGTCTGACTCGATGGCAAATGACAACATATATGGTCATGAGTATATTCCCTTTTGCCTAGACATACCTGAACATTCAGCTTGTCTACCCATCAATTTACCCATGGGTTAATGTTTGTTATCACTGATAGCACAGTATTTCCTATTGTTTTTCATTCCAGTAAAGACATCTGTAGTGCTGCAGCAAGAGCACTGTGGATAAGAAATTATTGGAGGTGTGGGAAATGCTGACTGGGAGGTTTCCTCTCTGACTGGGCCTTACCCTGCAGCATTGCCTGGGTCCCAGTGACCTGGCTGCGTTCAGTGGAGGCAACCAGCTGTCTTTTCAGGGAATTCCATTTGACATTACTGTCCCTGATCGTAGAAGTGATACATGCTCTCTGAAAAAAAGAGTCATACCCCACAAAATGTACAAAGTAAAATATGAGTTTCCATACCCCCCTGTGGTGGGCAGAATTCTGAGATGGTCCCAGGGTTCCTGCCTCCACTGTGCACACCTGTATAATCTCCAGGCCCAATGCAGGGCGTATCAGTCTGCACCTCCCAGCACTCCCCTGCTGCCCTGTCCCCACAGGAGCTGCCCCATTTCCAGACATGGCAACCCTGCAAATGAGCTGGACTGTGAATGTGCAGGAAGGGCCTCTGTGACTCGGTTACGTTATATGGCGAAGGTGAAGGGATTTTATTGATGTGTTTAAGGTCTCTAATCAGTTGGTTTTGAGTTGATCAAAAGGGAGATTATTGTTACACAATAAACAATATTACTGAATTGCACATGTAGCATTTGTTGAAATGGTGTGACTTTACTGTGTATATTATATTTTATAAAATAAAATGTATTTTAAAATAGGGTAGAGATTACCCCAGGTGAGTCTGACCTAATCAGGTGGTTCCTTAGAAGAGGTGGGGCCCTTCCTGAAGAAGAGACTTGAAGCGTGAGGGCAATTCTGCCTCAAGCCTTGGAGAAGTAAGCTGCTGTGCTGTGAGAGGGCCTGGGGGGCTCCAGGAGCTGAGTGTGTCCCTGGCCAACAGCCAGCAAGACAAGGGAACCTCAGTCATACACTGCTGCGAGGAACTGACCTCTGCCAACAACCACGTGACTGTGGAAGAGGATGCCAAGTCTCAGAGGAGATACCAACCCAGCTGACAGCTTGATTTCAGCCTTGGGAGACCCTGAGCAGAGGACCCAGCTAACCCACACCCTACTCCTGGCCCACGGAAGCTGAGAAAATGAACAGGCATTATTTTAATCCACCACATTGAGTATTTGTTACACAGCAGTAGAACACCAGCACACCGCCCCCTGAGTAACATGGCCACACTCCTTTGTTTCAGCCTGGGGGGTCAGTGACTGCTGGGTGGCCTGTTGTCCCTCTTGGGTGGCTTCCTGGGAGGTCATCAGTGAGGTGGAATCCCTGGGTCATAGCATGTGACCTATAACATGCTACCACACCAGCCTCTGTGCACCAATTTACCTTCCAGGTAATTCACTGTTCCAGTTATTAGCACAGAGCGGAGCCACCTGGTGACTTGCTATCCTCAGACCCTTCTCTGTTGTGGCACCATTCCTGCTTTCTGGACCCTGGCATCATGAAAACCAAACTCACTGCCACTGAGTCGATTCAGACTCCTAGCAACCCCCATTGGGTTTCCAAGGCTGTAAATCTTTATGAAAGTAGGTTGCCCCATCTTCCTTCCACAGAGCAGCTGGTGGGTTTGAACCACTGACCTTATTTCTGGTTAGCAGCCAAATGCCTTATCCACTATTTGGACTTGTATTCACATGGAGGCCCCAAGAAGCGTTGGCTTTGACAGGAGTGTCTGCCTTGACCCCTCCTACAGGGTTCATGATGGCACTGATCGCTGCAGTATGTTTCTGAATTATGTATTTAATGACAACCCTGGAAACCCACAAGCAATCCTGCTGAATAGCAGCACTCGGCAATTAATGTTCCTGAATCATTAAGCAAATGCACATGCCCGCTCCTTGTTTTAAAAATAGAAGATTGAGCATCTTAGCATGCAGAGTTCTGCTGAGTCAGCTTTTCTGTTTTTTCTTTCCTTAATTATTTTTTCCCTGGAACCTTACACAAGAATCAAGACTCAGAGAGACGAGAACCTCCAGGGGCGGTGTGTTTCTCTTAATGGTGGTAGAATAATTTGGAAAAGGATAGCCAGAATGGTAGTACAGCTCAAACATTGGCACCAAATTGTACAGTTAGAAATTATTGAATTAGTGTATGTTCTATTAGGTATATTTTCACTAAAAAAAAAAAAAAAAAGGAATCGCTTTAAAAAGTTGGAAATAGAAATACCATTTGATCTAGCAATCCCATTACTAGGTATATAAAGAAGTGAGAGGCAGGACACAAACAGATATATGCACAACCATGTTCATCACAGCACTATTCACAATTGCAAAGAGATGGAAACAACCTAGGTGTCCATCAACTGAGGAATGGATAACCAAACTGTGGTACATACACACAATGGAATACTGTGCTACCCTAAAGAATAATGTAGAATCTGCAAAACACTGAGTAACATGGATGAACTTGGAGGACATTATGCTGAGTGAAATAAGTTAATCACAGAAGGACAAATATTGTGTTAGTCCACTGTTGTAAAAAGTCAAGGAAAGGTTTATACATGGATGGAAACTTTCTTTGTTGGTTATCAAGGATAGGAAGGGAGAGAGGGCTAAATTCCTAGATACGTTGAAAAAAAAAATATATATATATATGTATACACATACAAACCAAAGATTATTATTTAAGACCCCCTTGGGTTTCCCAGGCAGTATCACTGCGGAAGTAGATTGCCCAGTCTTCCTTCCTAGAAGTAGCTGGTGGGTTTGAACCTCCAGCCTTCTGGTTAGCAGTCAAATGCCTTAGGCACTACACCACCAGAGCGCCCATAAATCCAAGATTACTAGTGGTTACCTGGGGTAGGAGGGAGGGGGCTGGGGAAAGGGGAAGCCTTTGTTTGCGGGGCATTGAGTGTATGCTAACGGTGGTGAATATTTTGGAAAAGGATAGCAGTAATGGTGGCACAACATGAAAAATGTCATCAGTGTCCCTGAGCTGTCAATTGAAAGTTGTTATGTAGGTGGATGTCTTGTTGTATATGTTCTCACCACAATAAAAGTAAAAAAAAAAAAAAGCATCAGGGCCAGAAGTCGACAGCACAGGCTCACAGAGGGCTGCAACCCGTTGAGTCCTCCCTCGCAGGTTGGGGCAGCAGGGCTGGTTGGCTGCCTCCCTGGCCATCCCCGGCTCTCCACTCACTGTGGGTGTTGGGACTGTGTGAATACAGGAAGAGCATTCACCATGTTGTCAGAGGACTTGACAGAATCCCAGCTTCCCTGTCCTGAGCAGCATGGAAATGCTCCTTCACGTGGTACCCTGCCTGTCTCCTTGGCCAGAGATGGGCAGGCAAGAGGTCCCCTGACAGGTGGGAACCAGCACGGCTAGAGTCGCTGCAGCCCTTCATCCCTTGGAAGTGAGGGTGTGGCCATACCAGGGTTCGGTGTCCTCTTTGGGAGGTTCCTGTTTTGCTGTTCTTGTTGTTGCTGTCCAGTCAACTGTGGCTCCTGGCGACCCTGTGTGTAGAGAGAACCACCTGCTCCACGGGGTTTTCACGGCTGTGACGTTCGGGAAGCGGATCACAGGCCTTTTCTCTGACGTGCAACTGCTGAGAAAAAACGTGATTATTATGTTTCTGTTTTCTTCTGAGATCTTGAGTCCTGCTTTCTTCTTCCAGGCTCATCCTAGCAGCCAACAGGGATGAATTCTACCACCGGCCGTCCAAATCAGCCGACTTTTGGGGGAACAACAATGAAATCCTCAGTGGTAAGTCAAGTCGCGCTTCACAGTAACCGGGGCTACGCTGCCTGCACAGTCAGCACCGGCCTGATATGAAAACTTGAACCATAGGATGACTGACCTGTCTGTTGTTCACTCTCAAGGGGAAATGCAGAGTGCATGTGTGGGCACAGGGGAGCTTCCTCGCTCATGGGTCTGGGGCCAGAGCTGGGTGGTGGCACCAGCCTCGGGCGTCCCCAGATTGTCCCCCAGGCACAGTCTCCATGGTCTCCTGGGTCACCTCGCTCCCTGGATGCCTTCCGTGGGTCCCCAGAAGGAGCAGCAGGCCCGCACGTCAAGGCTACAGCATGTGAAAGGATGAGTTGATTTTACTTCTCTCTTTTATGGTTAATAGTTTTATTTCCTCTTAACGTTGCTGTCAGCTTCCATAATTTAAAATTATATTTCTTTAGTTTTCTATTTCTCTCTGTGTCTTTCTTTCTTTTTTGTTTAAATTGTGGTGAAACATACATACCACAACATCTGCCAGCACAGCTCCCCCGTTTACAACTCAATGACGGTGATTACATTTTTCATGTTGTACTACCTGTATTGTTATCCTTATTCAAAACATTCCACTACCATCAACATAAACTCAATTCCCCCTAACAAAACCCCTCCCTTTCCCCACCTTCCCACCTCTGGTCAACATTAAGATCCCATGGTTTCTGTATGTTTGTTTATTCCACATAAGTGAGATCATACAATATCGTCCTTTCCTCACTGACTGACTTCACTCAGCATGTTTTCAGGGTTCATCCACATTGTGGCATGCATCAGAACTTCATTTCTTTTTCCAAAACGAAAACCAGACTCACTGCTGTCGAGTCAGATCTGACTCAAAGCGACCCCTCCTTGAGTTTCTGAGGTTACAGCAGAGTAATATTCTATTGTGTGTATGTACCACATTCATTTATCCATTGTTGTTTTTGTTGTTAGGTGCCATCGTGTTGGCTCCAACTCTTGGTGACCCTGTATACAACACAATGAAACACTGCCCAGTCCTGTGCCAACCTCACAGTCCTTGCTATAACTGAGCCCATCATCACAGCCACTGTGTCAGTCCATCTCATTGAGGGCCTTGCCCTTTCTCTCTGACCCTCTCCTTGACCCAGCATGACACCCTTCTCCAGGAAATGGTCCCTTCTCACAACATGACCAAAGTAGGTGAGACAGTCTGGCCATTCTCCCGTATAAGGAGCATTCCTGCTACACTTCTTCCAGGGCAGATTTATTCGTTCTTCTGGCAGTTCATGATACTTTCAGCATTCTTCGCCAAAACCGCAATTTGAAGGCATCAGCTTATTCAAAGGCATCTGTCTTCCTTGTTCGTTGTCCAGCTTTCACACACATATGACCAAGACCAAATCAAACTCACTGCCGTTGAGCCGATTCCAACTCATAAAGGCAATTGAAAATACCATAGCTTGGGTTAGGCACACCTTAGTCTTCAAAGTGACATCTTTGCTCCTGTGGTAGTTGTTTGTCAACTTGGCTGGGCCTAGTTTGGAGTGGCTGGGCAGCCGGATGTAGTTACCTCCCATGATGAGACTGGTAATCAACTCCATGGTGGAGTCTACTAAAACACCTGAGTAGCTGCCCTAGGGATGTGGTCTGCTTCCAGTATATAAGGAGAAACATTGAGAAAGGTCTCTGCAGCTTTTTGCACACTTGGACCCTGCACGTAACCGAGTCTGCCACTCAGCAGTCTGCCGTGTTTCCGCCCGATCTTGAGACTATCCCTGGTCTTGAACTAGTAGTGGCCTGCCATGTTGTTTGGTAATATTGGGACTGTGCCGTTTTCATTTGTTGACTTTGGGCTTGTCAGCCTCAGCAGCCAGCAGCTGCCTGAGTGAAGAGATGCCTCCAGCTGCAGTGGGCCGGGAGCAAGGGCAGAGCTGAAGCCCAGGGTTGAGGGGCTTTCACCCAGCCCCTAGAGCTGGCACTTTGAACTCATACTTCTAGTTTCCAAAACTGTAAGAGAATAAATCCCTGTTTGTTAAAGCCACTCAATTGTGGTATTTTCTCGTAGAGAGGCACTAGAGAACCAAAACAGCTCCCTAACACTTTACAGAGATCTTTTGCAGTAGATTTTCCCAGTGCAATATGATCTTTGATCTCTCGACTGCTGCTTCCATGGGTGTTAGTTGTGGATCCAAGTAAAATGAAATCTTTGGCAAATTTAATCTTTTCCCCATTTATCATGATGTTGCTTCTTGATCAAATTTATCTATTGATTTGTTTTATTTTGATTTATCCTCTCTCCTGAAAGAGTATATGGTTAGCTTTTTGTGAAGTGCAAGCCTATACTCAGGCATTTTGTGAAAATTCACTGTTGTGCATGTGTGTGTTTTATTTGCATACATGTCTGTGTGTATGTACAACTAAGTATCCCTTACTCCAGGCAGGTCTGGGCCTGATTTTGGAGAATAAAGGGTTGTATTGTGCACGTTCAGGAGCTATGGCCTTGTCATCTGCGTGGATCTGTGCTGCCCGAGTAACTCCCATGAGAGGGCAGAGTGGAAGTACAGCTTTGTCCCCTCCCTTGTAGATGGCAGCCTCACAGAGACAGGAAGCAGTTCCAGCACAGGGTGGGCTGTGTGGCTACACTGGCCTGGCTCTTCGTGACGGTGCTCCAGGCACCAGGCAGACCCTTGGGAGACTGGCAGCGCTGACAGGTACTCCAGGGTGTGTAGCTGGGCCAGGTGGGGCCTTGGGGGCCCATGGAGGCTGCGTGTGTCCTGTGCTGCTGCTGCGTCCAGACCTCCCTGGGCCCTTTGCTCTTTCCAAGGCCTACTTGAGTGGGCTCTCCCAGACCTCCCACCTGCAGTATGGGACAAGGAAAGGTTTCTAAAAGTTCAGCCATAGTGTTTGGACAGGAGGAATCTCATGTAGACACATGCCTGGGAAGTGACCTGATAAGGAAGCTGCTGAAACTGGGTCAAACTGGTACCCACGTGCAGGGAGGACTGTAGCAGGGAGATTGAGGCAGACCCCTGTCTGGAGCGAGAGGCTGAGCTTCCTGTGAACCTGCATGGAGCCTGGACATGTAAACTAGGGAGCTGTAACAGATGCTGGGGACACCCTACTGGAATGGCTCTGAGCTCAGGATATGGTCAGTGCAGAGGGCCAGGAGCCCAGCCCTGGTCAGGAGCTGAAGGCCTATCGCCCAGAGTGCGGTGCAAGTGTGGGACTCACAGATTAATAGGCCAGGTCTATAGTATCACAGGAAGACGGCCAAGGAGACATTCCCAGCATCATATTCAAGGGCAGAATAGAAAGTGGTGGTGAGGAGGGATAAGACAGGCGGTGTGAGTCGCTTCTGTAAGACAAACACGTGGGAGGCTGAAGTGAGTGGCTGGAGGCTGGTCAGGGGTCAAGGCGCCGATGCCCTCAGGAAGTGGGAAAGAGAACTCCTGTAAGGCAAGGGGGAAGACACCTCATGAGGCAGTTACCCTCATTTATTAGAGGCACTGGGGGCTGCTAGGCTGCCAGGCTCCTTGGCGCTCAGGCCTGTGCTCTGCTCCAGAATCTGTGTTCGTCACGGCTGAGGAGCTCTAGCTGCATGGAGTGAGTCATTCTTTGCAGTGGCTTGGAGGTGACCAGCTGGCATGCTGCGGTGACCTCTTGTCTGATAGAAATGGGGCAGTGGTGGTCCATCTTCCAGGCAGGAGACTTGGCTTTGATTGCTGTGCAGCCCCCACTTGTCTTGCAATGGAGTCTTACGTGTTGCTGTGAGGTTGCACAGGTTTCAGTGAAGCTTCCAGACCAAGAAAGACTAGGAAGAAAGGCCTGGTGATGTCCTTGCAAAGGTCAGCTAGTGAAAACCCAGCCCTACGAATCAAGCAGTCTGCTCCCAGACCGATCATGGGGATGGCGCAAGACCAGAAAGCGTTTCGTCCCTTTGTGCATGGGGTTGCCGTGAGTTGGGGCCAATTCATCAGCAGCTGACAACGGTCTGGTGGCATAGGGACCCTGTCTCACTGCTGGGTAGGCCTAATATCCACTGCATCCAGGTTAGGGTTAGAAGATGCCAAAGTCCACATCCTCACTCTGTCTGGCATCAGTAAATTGTACGCAGAATTTTAGGCCACTTGTTCTGAAAGTACAGTCCTTGGACTGGTAGCATCAGCTTTACTTGTTACGGATTGAATTCTTTCTGTCAGAAAGGTATGTTGAGGTCCTAACCCTTGGTACCTGCGAATGTAACCTTGTTTGGAAAAAGGATCTTTGAAGATATTATCAATTAGTTAATATGAGGTCATAGTGGAGTTGTTGTTAGGTGCCATCGAGTTGGCTCTGACTCATCGTGACCCGTGTGTACAACAGAACGAAACACTTCCCAGTCCTGCACCAGCCTCGCAATGCTTGTTATAGCATCATTGCAGCCACTGTGTCAACCCTAACCCTTCCCCTCTTTTGTTGACCCTCCACTTTACCAAGCATGATATCCTCCTCCAGGGAGTGGTCCCTTCTGACAACGTGACTGAAGTGGGTGAGACAAAGTCTGGCCGTTCTTGTTTCCAAGGAGCATTCTGGCTGCACTTCTTCCGGAGCAGCTTTGTTCACTCCTCTGGCAGTCCATGGTACTTTCAGCATTCTTCTCCAGCACCACAGTTCAAAAGCATCAACTCTTCTTCTGTCTTCCTTATTCATT